GGCCTGGGTGGGGGGGCCCTGCAGCAGCAGCTGCTGCCCGGGCTTCCCTTCCCCAACTTCCCCAACTGCCCGGACGGTGCAACGGGCTGGGCTGGGGCTCCTCCCGCTGGACAGACCACCCCGTGCCCCCCTCCCGGCCGCTGAGGTGACCCTGGGCACGGGCAGGTACCGCGGGAGGCTCGTAGGGACAGGTTAGTGCTGAAATGAACTGATCTGTGCAGCCGGAGCGGGCACCAACAGCAGGCAGGGGCTGAAGCCCTTCGATGCCTGAGTCCCCAGCGACCCTGCTCACCCGTTAATCACACAAATCCCAGCTGCAAACGGCGGCTTAAATGATTCTCAGACACCAACTGACTGTCCCTGCCTGCTGCAGCTAAGGGAGCAATCACACCCCTGCTGGGCCCGAGCAGCTAAACTGTCTCCACTTCACTGCATTTTCAGTGAAAAGTCTCTCAGAATTCCCCGAGGGGAAGAGAAAATATGAAACCCTCCCTCTTCCTCCAGTGACTGTTTAATTTAACACACTTGTGAGCTGTTAAACCCCAACCCATTTAGCTGCTACCCCTGAGCAAGACCTGGGAGCCTGAGGGAAGCAGGGGATGGATGGGGCTGGTGAGAAGGAAAACGAGACTGCACACGGGCTTTGAAACATAAACATTTACACCACGTTGGAAAAGTATAAAACACAAAGGGTGAAATCATGGCTTGTGTTTTACATACAAATCACACGCAGGAATCTCCTGTTGTGGGACCCAACGTTGCTCCCGACAGCTCAGGTGAAGGAGAAACACACCTGAGTGACCACAGCTGGTCCTGGCTCTGCTCGGTGCAGCCAGGATGGACTGCACAGTCTCCCAAGTTTTTTTGGTATCCTCCACAGCCTGAAGAATCATACAGAAAGGAATTCCTACCAACATGCTCCTGACTCTCCTGTGGGGACCAGCCTAACAGCAAATCCCCCCTCGGGCAGGGAGGGATTAACACAGGACGCCCCCAGAGCGGGCGGTAAGGGCTGTGCCAGCTGAGTGCTGCTCCTCATACAATACTGGGTATTCTAGTTAAAAAAAGTCAGCTAACCTTAACTGAGGTGAATCTATATAAGCAGGAGAAAAAAAAAAAAAGGGTTTTAGTTTGTAAGAACACAGAAGAAACACCTTAACCAACCATTAAACTGCTACGCCCTAACTGCACACAGAAATGCAGGGCTGGGAGCTCTGGGGGGCTGAGGGGAAGGTGCAGGGAAGGGGACACAGCTCAGCGTGGGGCTGGAGCAGCCACCCTCCCCCTCACACACACACCAGGGAATGTGCTGGTGGACCCCCAAACCAACCAGGTGTCATTTCACTCGTGCCTTGGTGTCCCTGAGCATCCCCTTTGCCCCAGAGTGACATGGGCAATGGCTTTGGCAGTGGGAAGGAGGAGGGAGCCTGCACACACACCAGGAGCCCTGCACTCCTGGGGTGACTGAAGCCCCCCCTTCACTCCTCTGCCCTGTCTCCATTTCTTCAGCTACAGCTGTTTAGCTTCAGTGCGTAAACATGTTAATGAAAATGACAGAAATGTGTTGCCAGCTTCAAGTCCCTAGCAGAAAATAACCCCACCACCCCAGCCCGGGCAGGCCCGGGGGGTGCTGGATGCTCACTCCCTAGGTACAAAAATAATCATACAAGTCAAAGAGTTTTGTGCTGGCCTGCCAACACCATCAAGAGGCTGAAGATATCAAATAATAGCACCATAAGCGTTTCTGAGAGGTCCTCCCCCTGAATTATTACCCCTTCCAGCTTCCCTTCCCCAAAATGTTTCTCCCCGAGAGAGGGCCCAGGACCCCCGCGGGGGCAGCACCCCCAGCCCACCCCAGACCTTATATCCAGAGGGGATGGTTTGAGCACCCTTAGAGTGTAGCACAGACAAGAGGGGACGGGGCCCTTCCCGGGGCTCCTGGGCGGCACCGTCGGCACGAAACTGAGCAGCAAGTCCTGGTCTGACCCTGCTCCAGCAGCCGCCGCGGGTCCCGGAGCTCCTGGCCCCGG